GAAACACGAAATTGATACAATAATTTCCTAGCGTATTTCTCGTTAATTAACGGAAAACATTCTTTTCTCAAGTGTTATTTATCTTTTTTAAATCCTTTCAGTGTAAGTAAATCTGTTTATTTTCATAAGTTATTCTTTTTTGCAAAGTGTGTAAAAAACAATATCAGAGAGAGAGAGACTCATGCAACCCCGTGTAACTGACATACATGTACATCTGTGAAAAAAATATATGTACCGTAATTTTATTGAAACTGGTACTGAAATAAGTAGCTTTTTCAACATTGGGCAAAGTTTTTCTTTGCTTGTCAACTTTTCCAGGTAAGAAAAAAATATTTCTTTGGCTACCCCCCCCCCCCACTTTTAAAGACGATGCTACGTGTCTGGCTAATTCGTATAGCTTTCTAGAAAGGGGGGGGGGCTAACAGACCCTTTATAAAATAATTTATTATCTTAAAAAAATGCAAACCGTTTCCTTCTTTTAAAATTTTTAAATACAGCGTGTAAGTTGATCACTATTTTATTGGATTATCGTATTGCGTAGTCCGCGGAAGTTAGGCTAGTGTAGAAGAGTTCCGATTTTGAGGGGAGATAACTCACTTTTGAAAATGGGGAATAGGTAGATAAAATCAGCAGCTATGCTTTATTAGTTTTCTACTTTCGTTTTCAAAAAACGATCTCTTTGGATTCCGTTTTTATTGTTTGATTTGCATTTTATTGTCTTTAATTTATATTTTTAATAAAATGACAAACAACTATCTTGTTAATCTATGTGTTTCACCTTGCATACCCTTTAAAACTAACAAGATAATCCCCTAATTGCCCCAAGCTATAAGCTTCTTGCTCCAGTGGACAACTTCGTGCGTTCAAGCGTGAAGTGATTTCCTGTATCTAGGCCTAATTAACATCTGGTTAAATAAACAATGAAACTTATCTGTGTGCATTGAATAAACAAGTCTGACATTGTTATCCCGATTGTCAAAATTCAGCGGTAGGGAATTACTTTTAAAATCGGAAATTTTGGTGATTTTTTTTTCAAATCGGGAAATAAGGGCAATTTTGCTTTCCCGATCGGGAAGGCGGGATGAAAGGGTAAAATCGGGAGGATCCCGCCTAAATCGGGAAAGTTGGCATGTATGGTATAACAAATTGAACTTGGTTGAATAATGAAGGGATCTGGATATGTTGTTCCCTACAATATGGCGGCTAAGGGGAATAACTCCTAGATATGTCATAGGAAAAGGGTCTATATTATGAAATCATCTTCAGGTAGTGTAGATTCAAGTTTGTTCAAATCATGACCCCGGGGGGTAGGGCGGGGCCACAATCACTGATCAAATTTTTACATAGGAGTATATAGGGAAAAAGGGAAGAAACTGCATGCATACACGGTTTTTTTCTTCTAAATTTCATGAACAATACCTGATAAAATCTTTCAAATGCAAAAGAAATCACAAAAGATTTGATCAAATAGCACCATATATAGATAAAATGGTATTACTGAAAAATAGTTCAAAATGCGTTTTGTTTGGCAAAGGTGAGGTGGAATCATAACTTCAGCTAAACATTAAAATAAACCATCTTGTAATCATCACTTGATCGTGCATCTTGTATCGATAATGACTTTAAATGGCAAGGTTGCTTACTGCATAAATATTTAACCGAATGAAGGCGTACTTTGCTGTAAACACAAACCTTTTATATCAAGAAATCACGCTTCCATCATGGCAGCCATTCTTCATATGACGTCAATTGTGCGATGAATTTTTTTTTTTTTTTGAAAATTAATTTAGGACTAATAAGTTTCACTGATCATTAAATTAGCAAATTCTCACAAATGCAATATTAATAAATTAATCTAAAAAGTATTTTAAAAGTTTCAACGTACTTCGGTAGAAGTCGTGTTTTTCCGGAATCACCTGCTGCATGGATATTGTATGGAAGCACATTTCAGTCTTTATGCTAATTTAGCTTTTTTATCTCAGATTGATGTAAGCTTTAAAAACATTAAAAATTTTTGTTTTTAATTTGAAACACATAAAATTTGCAACAAAGCCGTACATCTACAACAAATGAACTTTTACATTTATTATTTCTCAACCTTGTTAATTTCATGCATGTTGTAGGATTCCATAGAAATGTTATTTCGGAGGTTAATTCAAAAGACCAGAGTACATCTGTGTAAAACCATGACTTCTGCTTCTCAACCATCAGCTGCTAAACACATAAAAATGAGTGAAAAGAACAATATTGTTTGGGTTGATCTCGAGGTAAAATCAATGTTGTGTCATTTGGGTTGCTTTCACTTTCACTTTACCTATTAGTCTGATTAGTTGACTAACTACATTGTATTATGATAACCCCCAAGGAATGACATATTGTCGCAATATATCCTTTACTGAAACAAAGCTTTTATTCAAAACAAATAAATTTAACATTATATTACACTGTCACTGTATATCTGCAATATTTCCAAATTGTGGTAAGATGTACATGCAAGCAAATTTTACCCAAGTGTTACTTAGATTTTATGTCAAATATTTTTTTTATTTGGTAAGTTATGGTGGTATCATAAAGGCAAAAGCATGAATGAGTGAATAAATCAACCAATGCTTATGATTTATTATTATAATCAAAACAAAAAGAGCACTATATACATACTACAAAGCCCTTGATCGCCATCCCCCCCCCCCCCCCCCCCCCAAAAAAAAAATTGCAAAGGGACTTGCATTATCTGTCAACTGTTACAGTGGAAATTAAATGACTGTCAGTTTTTTTTAGGAGGTAATATCAGTAATGTTGAATATGTATCTCTACAAGAGAATATATAGAGAGTATTCTTTACTGAATATAATAATTAATATCATTTACATAATAATTATATAATATAATATGGCTAATATTGTTTTACTATTTGTCTGTAGATGTCAGGTCTAGATGTCAATACAGAACATATTCTGGAAATGGCGTGCATTGTGACAGATTCAGATCTTAACATCATTGCAGAGGTAGGTATTGATTAAAGTTGTGTCACATTCTACTTGCATTAATTTTTTAATCTTTTGAGTTAATTGGTAGTGCATGATCTTAAGCATATTTCTAAATCCCAACATATAAAAGAAACATGAATCGGCATTGAATATGAAATCTTGAATTTCTTTATTTTTCTGGTGTAGTATTAAATAAAAAAAGAGAGTACATTTAATACAAGTAAATTATTATGTGTCCAGTGGCATCTACCAGTAATTTGCTCAAAAGTTGTCACCAGATAAATCAAGTTTCATCTTTTTTTATGTTAAACTGTTTTAGTCCATCTGTCTGTCCCTCTGTAAACTTTAACAAATTTTGACTTCTACTCAAGAACCACAGAGCCATTTTCAAACAAACTTCCTACAAAGCATCTTTTATTTACAAAAAAATAATAAAAGCAGTAATAAAAAAAAATTGCATATGGAGACTTTAAACAGATAATGATTCAGGCTAGCATTGTGGTCCATAGAACTCTTGTTAAATCATGTATCTTGCTACTAATACATGCACTAATCATTGAAGTAAATTTTTTTAGAGTCCAGATATCATTATTCACCAGCCAGACACAGTACTGAATAACATGGGAGAATGGTGTACCAAACAGCATGGAGAAGTGAGTGATGTTCATATATCTTAAATGATACTTTAATCATTCACAAATCATTTAGCTGTCTACTGCCATAATAAATACTTATTTTATGAACTTCTTAATAATTATATTAAGTGCAGCACACATCTATGAATTTAATACACATATCAGTATCACAAGATGCATTTCATTGTCAAGTTGCAGTTTCTTCATTTATTAAAAGTTGGAGTTGGTTTGAATATTTAAAAATGTTTTAATAGAAAAATAATGAGTGTTTTTAAATTATTATATTATGTTGCAAATACTTCTTTCTTGTTAGAAAATGTTGGCAAAGTTCTTGAATATTAACCCCAGTTTTGTGTTTGTCAGTCAGGTCTGACAGAATCTGTGAGAAACAGTAAGATAGATCTGAAGTCAGCAGAAAACGTGATGGTAGAGTTCATCAAACCCCACATTGTCCCCTCGTCCTGTCCACTAGCTGGTAACAGTGTCCACTGTGATAAAGATTTTCTACAGAAGTACATGCCAGTCTTCATGAAACAGCTCCATTACAGAATCATAGACGTCAGCACTATCAAAGAACTCTGCAGGTATATTTGATTTGAACATATTTTTTGTACATGTATAAATTATATACAGATGGTTTGAACTCCCAGCAACATAGGAGGTTCTCAGCATTGATAGCTTCAACAGTAGGTATATTTAGTATTTCGGGCTTTATTGTATAAGCAATTTATATACCATAATCTACATGTATGGTGCTAAAAGAACTGAGGAAATACATATTTAGTATTTTATAGTTTCTATTTTCTTCAAATGATATCTTCACAAAAGGACAGCATTCAATACCAAGGTCTGATACATATGTGTGTTATTTTTATCTCTTTCAGGAGATGGTACCCAGGAGAATTAGAGGGTGCTCCAAAGAAGAAATTAACACACAGGTACAGAATTTTATGTATGTTCTACATTGAATGGAAAATAATGAAGGGGAGGGGATAATAACCATTGCCCTCAGCTTGTCCATGTGCGTGTTAGCTGAACTTACAAGTCCTAGGGAATGCTAGTTTTTTTTTTTTTTTGTTGGGGAAGGGGGATAAACCAATGATTATTTAATGAGAATTGTGAACTGAAGTAAGAATTTTTATCATGAAGGATATTTTGAGTTTTGCAGATACATCTCATGTTTAAAGCACAAAGGTTGAAACTTTTTGAGCATAATATAAATATTGTAAATGAAATCTCTGTAAGTATTTCATTAATCACTTAAGTAAATATGTAATTTTGATTTTTGTTTTTCAGAGCCTTAGATGATATCAGGGAAAGCATAGAGGAACTTAAATATTACAGAAAAAGTGTATTCAAATAAATCATTCACAATTTTATTTCCATTCATTTTATTCTTGGAAAAACCAGACTGTCATTTCAGATCTAACATTTTAATCAACTTTAACAGTCACTCGGAGAGCAATTAATATTAAAAAAAAGATTAACTCATCTTTGAAACAAAACTAAAAAGATTAACTTTTAGGATTTTTACAGTTTACTTGTACACATACCACCCCTTGACTTTAACTTTACATGAAATAAGTCCTGAGGGAGGTCAATATCCCATTTGCCATTCGCCAGTAACTCCACCGCAAGTCTTCCTATCTCATCACTGGACTTGGCTGCATATCCATTCCCTGCAATGGCTACCCCTAGCTGGCTGTGGATTAGGTCTATGTAGGGTCTGTTGCTAGGGGCAACATCCACCACACAACTGTCACCATGGAAAGAAAGTACTTTAACTCCTGTAATAAATCAAAGTGTTTAAATATTCAGTTATTTTTTGAGTGAAATATAGATTTTGTCTCTCAGTTGATTTGATATACAGAAAAGCATGATTTACAAACCAACAATTTCTAAAAGGAGGCGAGCAGATGAAACAAGAATATCAACTAAAAGTCCTCATTGTTCATGTTCTGATGAGTGAAAATTCTTGAAAGTGACAGTAAACAAACAAGTCAAAAAGTCATTTTGTTTTTGGAATATATTTTAAAAATAATAACAGGCCCAAGGGCCTTAACAGTCACCTGAGTACAATGTAACACTAAAAGATTCATAGATTGAATTTATTAAAAAAAATAAAATAAACTGAGAAATGAAGCTATGTTGCCCAAAAGCAAGAGAAAAGGGATGAGCAGGGATCAACAGTCTAATTAATTTAGTGCTCAGTAGCAAATCTTAGAGTTTATCTATTTACTTGTCTGTACTTGCCCACATATGTTGCTATCCCCATGTGGAATAAACAAAACAAAAGTTCTTGGGCACTGTTGGTAAATCTCTCTCAATATCTGCTAGATAAGTATATAACCTTGTATCAAGTCCTCAGTGTTGAATTTAGTTATAAACAGGTCAAGTATTAGGTCATTCTCTTTTGTGACTTAAAGATTTGAGGAAGTTTATTACCTTGACCTTGTTGATGAGATCTTGGGTCAGGGTCATGAGATGAACTGGTGTAAGCACATAAAGAAACTATTTAAAACATACTGTTTTTCACCAAATAGATATGTCCAATACCAATAGTCACACCATTTGAAAATTGCTAATCAGTGAAAGACAATAATGCCTGATAAAAAAGACGTAAAACTCACTACTAGTGTGCATTGTTGAAAAAAAAAAACAATCAAGTTTACCGACAAATGGCAGAAAGACTTTAAATTTTAAAGGTAAAAGATTAAATGTACTTAAATCTACATAATCAAATCCACGGTTCTAGTTTATTACAGTATAAAAATATATTTTGTTCTATTTTTGTCGTTAAAGGTGTTCCAATTGTCAGACAAAATGTCAATATAGAAGAAATAAACATAATTTACAGACAAGGACGACTTCCCTGAATGGAAGTTGATAACGATTTAAATTAACGTTTAGGTTTTTTTTATGACCAAAAGAAACGATATGCAACAAAGAGCTCTACTTTCTTTCCATACGCACTTGGCGTATCGATGATAACCCTATGCTAATACTAAATACATGTATTGTATATCACTTTTTATTCGCGATAACTTTATTTTTGTGCATTTACGCGAGACAATGAGCTCGCGAAAATCATTCTCGCGTATAAAATTATTCCTTATACGTTTATATAGGAATAACAACAATCCGTGAAAATTAAATCTCGCTAATAAAGAGTCAACGACTATTGCGAAAATAAGGTGTCGCGAAAATTTAGTGATCTACAGTATTAGCATTGATTTACAGTAGATGGACAATCTAGAAAACTCAGCAAAACGGAACTTGTAATCAGATATCGGTTTATAACTTTATGTGTACGATAGGCTAAGAATTTATGTATTTTTGATACTTTTAAGTCATCGACTCCAATGATATGAATTTTCATACGGTGTTGGGTTGGGGAGGGTTACACCATCGATATATATCAGGTGCCTGCGACTCTTATCTCAAAAATTTCATATTTTATCTTTAAGTTGCGATTGTTCAATATTGGTAAATATTATATAACAATTACGCTTTAATATTCCTTTATTTGCTTTTAAAGTTTAATTACTGAGCGAAAATTGTCAGGGTTAAATTTGTATGTTCTGTATACATGTACATGTATCTATACATTTGCCCGATGTCTTTACACTCAAAAGGAAGACCGCCTTTGTTTAGTGTGTGTGTGATCTTCTGTCTCTATTTACTTAGAACGATTGGTTTATATTTAATTTCATTCCTTCACTCAAAATAGACCTAGCTTTGCAAGAAGTTATTAAAACCAGCTAAAATATCTGTTATTCATGTCATATTTGATTAAATTATGGACACTGCTTATGGTTTCAAAATTAACGCGTTTCCTTGTCAGTGTGGTGAGAATAAATGCAATGGAAACCGCCTCTCAAAATTTACGTTAAAAGTCAAAAGGTTCGTAATTTTGCATATTGTTGACAATATGATTTGTGTTAAATCATGCTTTATGTGCAATAAAATGACATTACTAATGATTGATCAAAAGTTTTAATGTGTGCAAAGCTTGCCATGCAACAGATGATGCATATCATTAAACAAAGATTTCATGAATATTTTATTGTTACGGGATCTTGAATGACCACACTTCATTTCATAAAATTTTTCAATTGAAATACACACAAGATTAAGAAATATCTTCTTTTTTTTTAAAAAAAAAATCTTTTCAACCTTGAAATGTAATATTATCAATGTAGACCATGTCGGTAATACTTGGGTTCATTATTACTTCAAGACACAATCAAGTCAATGGTAGTTTGACTAGTATATTTATTGACGGTAATAATATAAGAAAAACCTGAAATAAAGTCATTTTAATTAATAAACATTTACAAATCCTTACTGACTTTACTTTTAAATTACAAATATAATAAGATATAGATAAGTTATAAATATATTTACCAGGCACACTATATAAATCAGCTACTAATATTAAAGGTGACTATTCCCTTCAAGGGTGTAGCGCCGAGTGTGCGTGAATATTGTTATCCGCGGGAAAGTTAGTAAAAAGTTATTAATAGAAAGAAACTAGTCAAACCGGAAATGGTCAAATACGTCACACCTAACAAACATAAACACTCACACGTGGACATTCACACATGACAACACAAACGTAAACACATAGAAATAATTAAAACATTGAAACTGAAACATTTAATTACTTACACTGGTTACATATTCCCCCCTTTTATTAAATGGCTCCTGACATTCTCTGAAATTAAATATCAGGCAAATGTTTTAATTCAAAGTGCTGAATCAACTCAATATCTATGTACAACAAATTCAACAATCCAGCAAATAAGCATAAAATAAAATCAAACCAAATTAAATAATCAAACACCATGTGAATCCAAAAATGCATCACCAAAACACAACTCACTGACACTGAACACCAAACCTGCCAAAAACCTTTGACACATAAGACCTCGACATTACTGTCCAAGAATCATATCTACTGAACCAACCGATATCAAATGAATATGTTCAAATCATCTCAGATTAAACATTAAATTTCATCCATTTATATCAAATGATGATGGGGGCTCAATAATGTTACACTGTAAAATTACAGTATCAATTGTTTATCTTTAAATAAACAACATGTATCAGTTAAATTCATTCATAGATTCATTTATTTAGAAAAATATTCACATAAGTCATAAAAAACAAAAATAAAACACTATCTTCACTTAAGAAGTCCTTGAATTCACTGAATTCACTAATCACTTAACTCCGACTGTCTATTATTTTTTTTTTTTTCTAACTTGTCCATTCACCATATCTGTCTGGCTGCTTCTTAATTCTCGTTGACCGTCGTACGGGCATAGCTTCCTGTGACACATCAGGTACACTCTCGGAAGTTGGACTTGGCTCATTTCCACTATGGCTTGAATCGTTAACCCCTGGGGACTGAAATGATAAAGAATAATTACCATTATTGAAATCATTGTCACTTAGATTAATACCCGAATAACTATGACCTTCATCAACTACTGATGAAACATCTTGAATAGATGAGGGCTGTACAGGTTTTTCTCCCATAGATCTGGTCCTCACGACTCTTCTCACAGTCCAATCTTCTGTGTCACTCTCTGTTTCTGATGAATCTGATGAATCTTTTGTCGCTGCTGGCACCTGTCTATCTCCACTTTCTTTCTTTGTCTGTTTCCTTCTACTGTTCTGTTGTTTATACTGTATTTCCTCCCCCTCTTGTAAACCAGAATAAGGAAGAAGCATATTCCTATGCAGAGTCCTGGTTCTGCCTGTTTTACCCTCAGCTTTCACTCTAAACACAGGAACATCGGGATTTGGCATTTCCTTAACAGTATAAATAGTTTCCTCCCACTTGTCAGCCAACTTGTTCTTACCCTTTAGACCAACATTCCTGACCAAAACTTTATCCCCAGGCTCTAACTTTGTCTCTCTTACTTTCATATCATACCTCTGTTTGTTCTTTAAACCTGACTTTCTTGCCTCTTGAGATGCTATTGCATAAGCTGATTTCATTCTCTGCTGCAGCTTTTCCACATATCCCCTTGGATTAACATCGCCTTCATTTCCTGGGTCTAGTCCGAGGAAAGAATCAATTGGAAGTCTTGGACTCCATCCAAACATCAAGTAATGTGGGGAAAAACCTGTTGCATCACTCTTTGTAGCGTTATATGCCTGAACCAAGGGAGCAACATGTTGTTTCCAGTCAGTCTTCTGTTTGGGATCCAGGGTTCCGAGCATCTTCAAAAGTGTCTGGTTAAACCTTTCTGCCGATCCATTGCCCATAGGATGGTATGGTGTCGTGCGGGTTTTCTGAATTCCTAGCAGCTTACAGAGCTCCTTTATAACTTTAGACTCAAAATTCCTGCCCTGATCACTATGTAGCTTTTCCGGAAATCCATAATGTAAAAAGTAATTCTCATATAAGGCCTATGCTACACTCGACGGTATAACCTGTGTGTCTATGTGTGTATTGAATTCATATGGACCTATTCTAAATCAGCTGTGAGTGTTGTGTTGTGTTTTGAACTGGTCGACCGTTGAAAAGGTGTGTTCGTATCATTGTGATTATTCACAGGCGGATCCCGAGAGGTGAATCCGAGAACTTCCGGAACCGTGACGTCACAGATGCGCGCAGCGAACCAATGACCGACCAAAATGGAGTCTATGAACAACGTGTTGTGAATTAGTCTGCGGAGCAAAGGTACTGTAAACAATTGTGCAAACCAATGGTCATTTTCTTGTGTTATTCTATGTGCATGTATGTCATATTTGTTTGTGCAAGTGATTGTCTTCGTCTTATGTATTGTCTGTACTGAATACTGAGGACTAGTGTAAAAAGGGAATTCCCAAGGTCTATTTTTGTTTCTATTTATAGTAAACAAATCTGTTTGTAAACTTTTGGCTGTAGTAGTGTATTTTTTTTCTTTTTCAGGTTTATAATTGTTTGTTTTTGCAAATTATTTTTGTATTTATTTATATTTTTTTCATTGTAAGTTCAATATCTATACTTTATTTATTTATTTATTTCTAGGTTAAGCTGAAATTTTATTTAGGTGTTGGTAAATTTAGGTAGCAGAAAGCCCAGTTCACTTTCTAACCAGCATGCAACCATTGCACTAATCAATCTAATTTCTTTCAGTCCAGTTGATCAGTAGACAGACCTACGGAGCAGAGAGTTATTGTGTGTGTGTCTGTATGTATTGTGAGTGTGTTAGTGATTTTGAATTTTAGGAATTTCATCAGATGTCTGAGATGATTATGTACAGAATTATTTAAACTGGGTATCATAAGTTGAATTAATCCATCTTTAAAGTATTCAACAGAAAACATATTACCAGGTAACTTACTAAAGAGTTGAATAAGAGATATTACATCAGTTGCTGTGGTTGTATGTTGAAGGTGTATTGATCTGTTGTTGTGTTGAGGTGCTCAGTTAAACAGTTGTATACTCAGTTGTTGAGTTGTAGTTGTGAATATTTATTTTATATCAGTTCAGTGTACAGTAGTGTTCAGTTGGTGTAAGTATTTGTTGTGAAGTGACAGAAGTTGTTAGTAGAAATGTCTGATCAAGATAAACAAAAGGGTAGTGAGGATGTGTCCTCAGCAGAGGAAAAGAAACTTGATTTTGCTGGTGTTGCAACCAGTACCCCCAAAACCACAAAAGATGGTAAAGATGGTAAAACCACAAAAGATGGTAACCCTTCAAAAACCACAAAAGATGGTAAAACCACAAAAGATGGTGACCCTATTAAAACATCAAAAGTCAGTGACCCTATAAAATCAGAGGTATCTGTACCTTCAGAACAGAGTGCAAAACCAAAGGTATCTGTACCTGATTACAATGCACCGGCTTTGCATCAGGGACAGAAACACAATCCCTTTGCAAAGTTGGCATGTAATTTTGGTGACACTAGTAATAGCAGTAGCAAACTTCAAAATACCTTTTATGACAAGGATGGTAATAGCATTAATCAGGTGTATGAATTTAATACAAACATCCCAAGAATCCCACAATTCTCAGGGGATGACCCTCCTCAAAAGGGGGATGTTTCGTACAAAGAATGGAGATTCGAGGTACAGTGCCTGATGCGTGACCCTGATGTTAAATCAAATATTCTGATACAAAGTATTAGACGGTCATTAAGGGGTACAGCAAAAACAATGTTGATTCCGTTAGGTGAGAAAGCAGGCGTTAAGCAAATTTTAGATAAACTTGACATTTTGTTTGGTGAAATTTCCAACAATGGCATGATTATGCAAGAATTTTTCAATGCTTTTCAACTACCGGGTGAGTGTGTTACATCATTTGGTTGTAGATTGGAGACTATGCTACAAAATGCTATTGATAGTGGTTATCTTGATCGTGCATCTAAGAATGACTTGTTAAGACATAAGTTTTGGACTTCATTAAGTTCAGAGAAGCTTAAGGCTCAAACGAGACATAAATATGATGACATCAAGAATTATGACAGGTTGTTGTTAGAGATTAGAAGGGTAGAAAAAGAAATCTTGATAAGTTCTAGCACTTCAGAGAAAAAGCCTGTTCATCAGCATGGAATGTCAGTATCTGAAGACTTAGAGGAGAAGTTAATGGAGAAGATGAGGAACATGGAGACAAAATTAGAAGGTAAGATAAATGACAAGTTCAACCAGATACTAGAGAAATTGGATGGTAGAACCAGTAATGTATCAGGTGGAGCTAATGAAAACAGAGGTAGAGGTGGTTACTACAGAGGACGTGGAGTTTGGAGAGGCAACTCTAATCAGTATAGAGGTAATTCCAATGACAGAAGGTTGAATGCTGGTCGAGGTCAAGGTCAGAGACGAGGTCAAGGAGGAAGTACAGGTAATTATAACCCAAACGCCTAGAGGTCTCTGATGAAGGCCGACCGGGGACCAGGATTTCATGTGAAGGCCAGCAATTAAAATGCAAAATGATTGGTGAGTCAAATGAGACTATTGTTTTTATGAATGATAATTCTTTTACAGGTCTTGTTGACAGTGGATCAATGGTAACAACATTGTCATTTTCAGGTTACAATTCCATGAAAAATCAACCAGAGTTAAAGGATTTATCTAACTTAGGGTTAGAGGTGTCTGTCGCAGATGGTTCTCTATTGAAATACAAGGGATATATAGAGTGTACTGTAAAAATTCCATTTATGGATGTAGAGTTATTTGTCCCTGTTTTAATTGTACCAGACACTGATTTCAATAGAACATGTTCTGTGATCATTGGAACTAATGTGTTGAGAATTTGTAGAGATTTGTTGGGTGAAGATTCCAATGAAATGAAAATAGCTCCAAAGGAATGGAGAGTAGCATTAAAGAGTATGAAGGGTAAGTGTTACCATGTCAAATCAGTGTGTAAGAAACCTATTACGGTACAACCTAATGAATCTACTGTAGTTAAGGGTCGAGTTAAAGGTTTACCGGGTAACAACATGACAATGGTTTCTGAAAACTGTGATAATATTGACAGGTTTACAGTTTGTCCAAGGGTAGTTAAGTTTTCTACACCTACTACAAAGTCTACAGTGCAAATCAAGATTTGTAATATATCTGCTAAACCCATTTCAATTAGGCATGGCACTGTACTTTGCAATCTCCAAGAGGTAAAGGTTGTAGATAATTTTCCTGCATTAAAACCCAAATCTGAGGTGTGTGACCCTATTGAACTTGGAGTTAAGGTTGACTCAAGTGTACTTACTGAAGATCAGTTCAATACTGTGAGAAATATTCTAAAACAGTACAGTCACATATTTTCCACAGGTCCATTAGATCTTGGTAGAACTGATTTAGTCAAACATTCAATTGAATTAGAGGACACAAAACCGTTTAAACAACCGTATCGCAGAATTCCTCCGGGTATGTATGAGGAAGTCCGTCAACACGTGCGTGAGATGTTAGACGCCGGAGTCATTCGCGAATCTAATAGCAATTATTCCTCAAACGTGGTACTGTGTCGGAAAACGGACGGATCATTGCGGTTTTGTCTTGACATGAGAATGCTAAACTCAAAAACGCGCAAGGATTGCTATATGCTTCCTCGGTTTGATGACGTCATAGATACCCTGTATGGAGCCAAGTTTTTCAGCAAACTCGACCTACGATCAGGCTATTGGCAGGTAGAAATTGAGGAGAAAGATCGGCACAAAACAGCATTTTCGGTAGGTAATCTAGGTTTCTATGAGTGCAACAGAATGAGCTTTGGATTAACAAATGCTCCTGCAACTTTCCAAAGATTGATGGAGAAGTGCATGGGAGATATGCATTTGAAAGAATGTTTAATCTTTTTGGATGATGTGCTCATATTTTCAAAAACATTCGAAGAACATTGTGTTAGACTTAAAAATGTGTTTACAAAATTAGCTCAACATGGATTAAAATTAAAGCCATCAAAATGTGAATTATTCAAAACTTCTGTTACTTATTTGGGACATGTAATTTCAGAAAGTGGTATCCAAACAGACCCAGAGAAATTATCCGCTGTTCGTGATTGGCCGACACCTTCCAACATTAAACAACTCCGCCAATTCCTAGGATTTGTGGGATACTATAGGCGCTTCATATTTGTAGACCATTTGTAGACCATGTCGGTACTTGGGTTCATTTATTACCTCAAGACACAATCAAGTCAATGGTAGTTTGACCAATATATTTATTGATGGTAATAATATAAGAAAAACCAGGCACACTATATATGTTGTATCTAGGCCTCTATAATTCACTGGATATGGAACTGAATGAAAAGGTCGGCGACTTTTCTATATGTACCCGCCTTCTCGCCAATCCGCTCCCCGGGGATTTTCCAATGGATCCTCAGTCTTGTATACCTGGTTTTTCAATTAACGTGGGCGCCATTTGTAGACCATGTCGGTAATACTTGGGTTCATTATTACTTCAAGACACAATCAAGTCAATGGTAGTTTGACTAGTATATTTATTGACGGTAATAATATAAGAAAAACCTGAAATAAAGTCATTTTAATTAATAAACATTTACAAATCCTTACTGACTTTACTTTTAAATTACAAATATAATAAGATATAGATAAGTAATAAATATATTTACCAGGCACACTATATAAATCAGCTACTAATATTAAAGGTGACTATTCCCTTCAAGGGTGTAGCGCCGAGTGTGCGTGAATATTGTTATCCGCGGGAAAGTTAGTAAAAAGTTATTAATAGAAAGAAACTAGTCAAACCGGAAATGGTCAAATACGTCACACCTAACAAACATAAACACTCACACGTGGACATTCACACATGACAACACAAACGTAAACACATAGAAATAATTAAAACATTGAAACTGAAACATTTAATTACTTACACTGGTTACATCAATATAGATTATACCAAATATTTTGGCTTAAATGGCCCTTCTAAGATCAAAAATTTACAAAATTATCTGATATTTTGATCCATACTTTAAATGACAGGTGAAAACAACTTGTCGATCAATGTGTTTCGATAATGACAAAGCACGATGTATATACATACGATGAAATCACCCTCTCACTTTTTAGCGTGTATTTCATTGGTTTAAAGTGCCAATAAGAAAGATTTCTGCAAGAACTATTCAATTGGAATTATCATTTATACTACTATTATAATACATTGTATCACCTTTAATTTTGGGAATGAATAGGTGTTATCTTATTCAGCTCGAACAGATGATATCACTTATTCAAATAGGTTATTTTAGTCATCATTTCACCAATTCAAATCAAATAGATGATAACACTTATTCGAATAGGTGATACATGTATCATCAATTCAAATACAGGCACGTAGTATCCGGGGGGCCAGGGGGGCCTGCCCCCCCCCCCCACTTTTTTCCCTAACATTACCTTTACTATAGAAAATGTCTATTGAAAAGATGGTTGGCCCCCCCACTTTTTACCACAGTATATACAAAGCAAGAAATATAGGAAAAAATTGGAAGTGAAAGGAAGTTCGACTTGAAAAAAGTTGGCCCCCCCCCCCCCCCCCCCCCCCCCCCACGAAATAGGATTTTCGAGTTTGGGTAAGTTTCAATTTTCCTTTTTTTTTTTTTTTTACTTGTCAACTTTTTTTAGGTAAAGAAAAAATTTTTTCTCAGGTTGGCCCCCCCACTTTCAAAAACGATGCTACGTGCCTGAAATAGATGTATCAACAATGCAAACGCTCAAAAGATGAAATCACCAATTTGAATATTTGATGCCAACAATGAAAAGGTGACATCTTCAATCCGAATAGGTGATAACACTTAGCGCCAGTAAATAGCAAAACAGCCCCACATAGATATTAACTTTTACAGCAAGGAAGACAACACGATTTTAAAAAAACGTGGAATTTGATTTCATTTTTTTTTTTACGTTTTCACTCAAATGAGAGAAATCGGGCTTTGAAGGACCTTTACGAGGCACTCAAGGTTCAAATATTAGTAACAATAAGGACTCTTCAAACCGTGCTGCCTTGATATGGGACCTTTGACAGAGTGCTTAGCGAAGGCACAGTTGCTCGCTATATTTAGCGAAAAACGAACGGTGTCAAAGGATTGTCTTTCTGGGATCGAATCGAAGATTGTTCGAACACGTAGCGAGTGCTGTATCAACTTTCTTGTAACCGTGCTGATTAATATCTACTGACGAATAAAACAAGAAAATATACTTCATTGATTTATATTAAAACCAAATATCTACTCCCTCGTGCAATCCGAATATTCTAATCAAAAATTGAAATGAAACCCAAGTACCTTTCACCACACTTAAGATCATGTCTGCCATTTGCCGAGTAAGTCGAGCGTCTGGTCCCTGGTCGAACCACTTCTTCATCTGCGTCCCGGAACGCAGTAGCTTTGGTACCGAGTCATGAGAGTGTCCAAGTTTTATGTAGTACTTTCCTGAAAGGAAATTTAAGTCCAAATGCTACATATACGAGTATTTTTTGTAAATAGACAACAAATTTGTGTTCTTTTTAAAATATTCAAGGTTTTACTAATACCATCAGGATAAAGAATTGGAGGAAGCATGTAGAAGACGACAGGTGCCCGGGGATCAACAGGATAATCCCGACTCCAGTCATCTCCACCTCGACCGAAATAGAGGACTGAAGGCATGGTGCTATAAAACATTAGACGGTATAAACACGTGTAAAACGAAAAGAGCCCGGACAAAAAGTCGGAAGCACTCTCCATGCAATGTCATACCTTATTTTGTTAGCATCCTCTTTGCTGATTTCCAGTTTCGTGACCGCCAATGGATAAAGCTTTGTATCGGGAGAAACTTCATTTCCTAACAGATCTCTGAAGGCTGTAAACGCACCAGTGGCTACAAGGACTTTCTTAGCTAGAATTTTTGTCCCAGAGTCGGTCGTCACCTCCATCAGCATACCGGGATTTTCACTATCGGGGACTACACGAGTTATGCTTCGAACCTCCTCTTGTATGTGCAGACAACCGTTAGTCTTTGCAATCGTTATTTGGGCTTTTACGAGTCTTCTGGGACTGATGTATCCTGCCGAATGCTTCTCAAACACCACCTCGTCATCTTTTGGAATTGACAGAAAAGGAAAGAGAGATCGAGCCTCTGTTCCGCTCAAGACACTTGCGCCTAAATTATCTTTCTCAACAACATATTTTACCGAGGTAATGTAATTTCCTCCTCGACTTCCAACTGAAAGACAACCAACTTCCTTGGCAATATCGATTCCTGTATAAGATAAAAAAAAAAAACTCCATAAGAACCTACTTTTATGTCAAAGTAGACAATCGCAAAGCATAATAATTTGGCCGATAACATGGCCAAACTTTTGCATAGACATATTTTCAGGATTTTTTAAACAAGTTGATAAATGACTAGTCAAAAAAGAGACTTGAAATTGGACATTTCTTTCTTACAAGTCGATATATATAATCTGTTGACAAGTAATGACAGATCTTATGCAACCATATTATTTAACCTATGAGAAATGCATGTCTGCACTTTTTTTTTTATTAAAAGCTCTTCATGGGGCAATATAATCAGCATTTTTATTGTATTTATGTTCCACTGACTCAAAATGTAAATGACTTTATCTGACATTAAGTTTACCGGATTCTCTCTCAATTTCGGCGTATCTAGGTATTGACTTTTGAGCTAGTCTGGCCCAGACAGGATCAGATGTTGACTGCATGTAAATTCTCCCCTCATCGTAATGTCCACCATATATGTCCCTTGGCGAATCTTCGGAGCGTTTCTGAGAAAGGAAATGTGTTTTGTTTTCTTTTTATATTCTGAATTTTGTTTGTGTTCTTCTTGCTTCTTATAGTACATTTGTATTGTGCATTTTTAAAAATTGAATCAGCTGCGTGATGTTCCAGGCCAAAAGAATTTGAACTTGAATTTCATCTTCTTTATTTAATATAATAATATATGCTAAAAAGGTTCCATAATTGATACCTGCTTGTACTCACCCTGTCAGGCTCATCCGGGCCAATCAAGCAGACATTGAGAAACTTAGACGCATGCTTGGCTGCGGCGGATCCAATCAAACCTGCGCCCACAACGCAAAGATCAAACATTCTCAAAGTGTCTTATCGTCTAACTTGGCAATAAAAGTAGAAACAAAGGTCAAAAACTGAGTAATGATCGCGGTCTTAAGATATGAACCATTTCCATTGAGACCTACTTCCTGTCCGATGAGCAAGTATACCCACAGCAATTTGGATTAAAACAAGGTCGTGCTTTATCTCTGGGGAAATAAACACATATGTATATTGAAACAATTAGAGAGTAAAGTATACATTGTATATTGTTTTATATCGTCATCGGGGATGGGAATTCATTCATGACTACTCCCACAATTAAATGGATGAAGGTGATAAACGCAGAGCTTGTTTTGATAATTGTATTTATTTTAATGAACTTATTAATTTTTGGTTATCATCCACAAAATATAATTTTTGTTATTGTTCCTCAGAATAATATGTCTTCTTTAGTCTTCATTAAAAGGGTCTTTGTAACCATTTGCAAGTAGACACAGAAAACGTGCTTTATGTTCCAAAATGTACATTAGCAAAATGCCACTGAAATCTGTTGCATTAGACGGAGTATACATCTTAAAAAAATAAAATATCAGTAAAACATTCTTAATATGCAAATCTCCTCCAAACAAACATAAATTGGAAAGAGTGCATAACTATCTGTCAAAACTGTCTTAAAAATCCAGATAAAAAGATATCTGTAATGATTTTTAGTTAAATTTTTTTCTGCGCGCATTAAAGATCATTTCTGAAGTATTTTGCGCATGTAATCAATGTTTGATTAAAATAAATGATACATGTATACCCGTGTATCTTAAATTCTGAATTATTGCGTGCATGTATTCAAATGGTTGATTCAAATAAATTATTAAAAGGAGCATTAATTGAATTATTGCTTTCTTCATTTGAATTGAGGGTAATTCAATTAATGTACGTAATGCGATATAATTGAATTATCTATTGTTCTGTTTAAAATAATACCGGTAATAATAAAACATATGCGTGAATTATTTTTCACTGATAAAATCGTTTTAAAATATACACATTTATATGGAGATAACGAACAGCATTCGAGCTCAAAAGCCCATTAAACAACATAAAACAGGAGTGGAGCAATCATGGACCTCCAAAAGATCAGAGGTAGGATCAGATGCATAGAGGAATGAACATCCCCGCCGACTGGCCACACCCACCGTGTGCTGCTTGTCATGATCGAGAAATAACGAAACAAATACGTAGACAACTCAGTGTGTAAATAATGGCCTTACAATTAGTATGAAAAAATCAGTCAGCATTTGACTTAATGATAAATTCTATTTGTTGACAAGGTCATTATATTGAACATAGAACTTACAAAAAGATGACCTAAAACGAGACTGCTGATATTCTTTGCTTCATCAACTTCTTTGTCAATAACTCAAACAATGCCTCATTAAATCAGTTGTTGCTCTCCATATTTGATATGATGCTTGCAACAAATTCATTCTTGCTCTCATAAATTAAAATTGATTAGAGCAATGTTAATTTGGTATATACATCAATAAATAAATTAAGTTAATTTGTCACTCCATTACTTAATTACACCTTTCCATACACATGCAGAAAAACTTTGTTCTGCTGCGGTCGGAGTTGCATGTCTTAAACGTAAAATAATTCAGTTGAAAACAATATCAATATCGCGATGATTGAAAAATCTCGTAAACAATACGATATACATGTATATGGTGACGCTTTGCCAGTTTCATTGATTTTCGCAAAACAAAAACTCTCGTTAAATGTACATAAAAATATCAAGGTAAAATTAGAAAGGAACAGATCTCGTGACCCAGCTTTTGTGACCCATGTAAAATAATTAAAATAAAGGTTCCTCAATTAAGCCCCATGCACCTCATACAGGTGAGAATTATTATTCGCCATTTGCGATAATTAATTGTTCTGGTCTCGTTAAACCGTCTTTTTTATCGTTCCCTGATGACAAAATGGTCCGTTATACGGCTAGAGTGATTAGCATTGTCAAAATCAGATAAGTTGTCATCTGCCTCGGACATTACCTCTTGTTAAGTCGAAAAAGGTCGCGGTTACGAGATTTATGTTTATTAGAGAGGAAAATCCGTAACATTCAGAATATTTCCGTGTATAATGTTAATTGACATCTTTTATCAAGATGTTTCGATGAAACACCTAATTACAATAATTAATATAACGGTGAAGTGAATGTTCCTCTGCTTGATCAGTAAGTACTAGGGCTCACCGATCAACAGGGGATGCTTACTCCTCCTAGGCACCTGACCCAAACTCTGGTTTTTCTAGGATCCCGTATTTTATGGCCTCTTCACAAATTTGTATCGATTATAGATTTTTCATCGGTCTCTGTTTTTTATATTCACCTTTTTCATCTTTATGAAACAATTTACATATACGTTCTGTTACTATGTATTATTATTTACATTTTGAAAACAATATACTTCGAAATCATTCGTTCCTCTTTATACCCAGGATGATTTGAAATATGGAATACGATTGGCATCTAGATTATTACCCTTTTATAAAATTCCAAAGGTTTGCATAAAACTCCTTAAGATTAGTTATTGCCGACTAACTTTATGTTAATATAAGTTAAAGAAAATCATATGGTTTATTTTAAGCTTCATACCTATTTAATGTAGGTTCTTCCTTTTCATTATTAGAACTTTTAAATTAATTAGAAATCAACACAGGTACGATGGTTTAAATAAAGAGAAGTCTATGTATGGGACAATAAACAATCACTGACAGGCGAAGGAAAAACCTCATCAAAGAAATAGCGTCATTACATTTTGACAGACGGATACGTTTTTTCCATTTTCAAAAACGGATCTCACATTTATTCTTTCTTTGCCACCTAAGCAGACGACATGTTTTTCAAGCTTTTTATACTGTGTTTATTAGTAACAGTTGCCCACTTCCACTCACATTATAAGGAACTCATTTTGAACGGGGACCGAATCCCACACCCGTGCTGCCCCGGGCGCACCTGGAGCCGGGTAGGACACACCGCACCGTCATCTACTGCTCTCAACAACTTTGGAAGAGTGAGTACTATTTTTAATCTGGTCGACCCAATAAGATTTTTATCTTAGAAAGTTTTCTTTTTTATCCTTTGAAAATATTTTAAATATAGTAACTTAAAAATATCATTGGGTTAATGAATTATATTAACTTTTTATTAAAAAAAACAACAACAACAACATAGTAGTATGTGTAAGTATTTTTATCCTCAACAGAAAGACTTTCATTGAATATATTATAAATACTGTATCCTCCGTCTTTGGCTAAAAAATGAAAAATAAATTAAATAAAATAAATGTTTCAAAAATAAGTTCTTTAATTTCAAGAAATGAGAAATTGTCATGTACCTTAATTACAGCATTTTCAAAGAAGTCGTCACTTGTTTACAAAGGAGTTATGCTTAGCTGATTCTGACGGCGATGGTGTTAGTAACGGAATAGAACTGGGACTGAACACCACGCTATACGACCTGCCAACACTCTGTCATTTCATTGACTCTTCTCACATGGCAAGGAAATTCAAGGAAGTGGTCCATTTTCTGAAGATGAGCAAATTGCTGACAAACCCAACTGGACATCCAGGTAAAAAAAATTGATTCAGAAAATATTATCTAAATGAAAAACTTGAAAGATAAAGATCATATCACACACCGGGAGCTTTATACTAGTTATATTGACATTTCGTAGTCAAGTTTTAACTTAAAAAGAAACAAAGGCCTAACACAATTAGTATGAAACAAGTCAGCCAAATTAAGGTCATATTTTTTTGCAAACTTTTTGTCAAAAATTTTGAAAATAACAACTTAGGTCATGTTATTCTAGAAATTTGTTATTTGCATCATGCAATGAAATTAGGTAAAAAAAATATATACCAATATCCAGGCATCCATTTTTTGTTTGTATCATCTGTCCTTAAGAAGCAATAAAGGGTTACATTTGCTAATTTATATAAGGCTGACATTGTTGATTTTAAACACCTGTTACATCAACTTGTTTGTCAATGGCCTGCCTCAGTTCAAAAATTGGCAGTACTTGGGGCATGCCCTTGATTATCGAATAAAAGCCATATACAGGTGATAGCAAGATATTACTACATGAAAAAGGGAAGTTGAGAGTCTTCTCATTTATCATACAATTTAGTTGTCAGTTGGCCTTTTTGCCTAAGTAAAATGAGTTTTAAGGTTTCTGAACTCGCATTTTTATATTTATATATTCTCAATTCATGGAAAACAATATACAACCACAAATTAAACTCCCTCGAAAAAGCTCGAACATTCCTACATTTGAATGGTCACTGATATTTAGGAAAGTCTTCCCTGCTAACTAAGTGGGAGGGAAATTGTGTTTTGACATCGGACTGTTTAATAAAAAATGAATATAAAGCGTATAGAAAGCATTATTGATAGCATCTTGAATTAATATTTTCAGACTGATTTTTGGTTACAATATATGTTTTAATATTTTTCAGGTTTTTGCGACCAAAACACTGGTATGTGTCGACCCAACTTTCCATGTGACTGTTAGTTTGTGGGAAATAAAAACTGCAACATGGACATTACAAATGTATACTGTTCTTATTTTTAATTTATCATTATTTATGTTGTATATGTGAATAAATTATGATGAAGTGGAATGAATTGGGTTTAACAAATAAATGATGCAAAATTACTTATGATTGATGTTGTCTTTTTATAGAATATGCAATTATAACGCAGATTTCTACTGATTGATTGATATATTGTCAGTATTGTCATGATTAATGCCTTTTTAAAATTCTATGTTACACCATTAAAACTTTACTCACATAAATGGAAAATTTTAAACAAGAGGAACACGTTCCGTAACAAGCACCTGAATATAAAACACAGGCCCATAGGAGGGGGGGGGGGCAGCCATACAAAGTATAAAAAAGGTTACCAGACGTTTTTATCAAGGGGGCACGAACATATTATAGTAGCTATGTTTTTTATAGAACATAATATGTTGGCAAAATAAGGGGGGGGCGCCGTTCCCCTGGTTCCTAAGACCATGATACATCCTGTAAAGGGATCCATATTTTGGTAAATAATTATACAAGTACACAAATGAACTGAAAGAAAAAAAAGATTAAAACAAAGAATCACCAAAACCCAGGATGGACTCAGAAAATTATCTAGATTTAGACAGTCTTATTCGCTTCGTAACTATGCACTTAGTTTAGGTTTTTAAAACAAAGAATTATCGCGTGCTTTTCACTACATGATCTTTAGAGCCCAACTTTAGAATCCTTGACCAAAATGCCATGAATTTTACTATTATTGAGAAGTCTAGCACTTAGCTTGTATTATAGAAAATCGATCCAGATTTTATAAATAAGAATTGATACATTTTGATATATGTCTCAACTGAACGCACCTTACCACGTGCCAGAATCTCTGATCAGAGAACCATGAATATAAAAATTCAGGAAAAGGTACTCTTTCTTACCATTCGTATAATTAACTTGTGTGTTAAATTTATTAGGGATGGGGGGGGGATTGTTTGAAGAATTTAATAATTTTCACTGTATGATCTATATAGAGAGTCTTTTAGAGACCCAACCTGGATTTTGCAATTGTTGGTTTAACAATGTTTTCTTGTATTCAGTGTTTTAATACAAAGTCGTAAGTCGTAGACACATTTTAAAAATAAGTGTTTTTCAAAGGATACGTAATGGAATGGGTTATCTAATGACCGATCTTTGCGTTTTCCCGAATTTACTTTGCTCTGGTTTCCCTTTGGTTTAATTTAATATTTTTTAAGTTTAAAAAGGATTATGCATTTTAAGGTATTCGAGATATGGTTAAGTTAACCTTAAGTTTAGATGCTCTTCGATTTTCATATTTTACTCAATTATTTACATCGAAAAAGGCCTGTTCAAACAAAACTTGGGTATCGACATTGTAACATAATGGAATATTGTTCTTATTTTGACCTTCTTCTTTTGTTCATTTCAATACATGTTTTAGGGAAAAAACAACAAAAAATTAAGATCGCGGAACATTAACTGGCAAGATTGGAAATATGCAGCAGCTTATGTCATTTCTATCCTGTCAAAACATTTGATGATAGACAATGAAATGGGCGGGTACAATGCGACGCGGACAGCCGAGAAAACATTGGATTGAAATTCTAGTTTGAAATTTATTTTCAATTAACCTGAGCTGTGTTCAAAAGCAATATTTGAATGTATGTGCTTCAAAAGACAAATATTTCAATTCCCAAATACATGTTGGTTGAAATTTATGTTGATATCCGTTTATAACCTACAAAATACTGGTAAAAATCATAGAAGACGTATATATTTTTTTCAGGTGACTGCCATTTGATTCTAGAAAGCGGGGGGGGGGGGGCAAAAATTGTTGAGTAATATCATGCCATATATTTATTTTTAGGATGACAGGAGAGTTTTTTTAGCTTTGTCTTCACTGAAAAATGGTAAAAGTTTCTTATTTATTTCCAAGATCGTTAAGCCCCCCCCCCCCTTCCTCCCCAAATGAACACATACATATACCAAACAGAAATCAAATATTTGTCCTTTTATATATTTCTTTAAAACACTGGACAGAAAATTATGATTTTATTATATATTATATTTAAATTATACCAAAATTGAAATTATTTGTCTTCTGGGTCAATCAGTAATAAAGTGCTCTTGACCTAGCGTAGCTGAGGTGGATTGAAAATGAATTTCAAACTAGAATTTCAATCCAATGTTTTCTCGGCCGTCCGCGTCGAATTGTACCCGCCAATTTCGTTCTCTATCATTAATTTTTAATTGTAACAGATAGAAATGACGTAAGCAGTTAGCTGCATATAATTATTTCCAATCTTGCGGTCTTTTAGTCATTTGTAATTGTTTTACGATCCGAATCATTTTGCGGAAATATTATTTCCGATCAAACGAAACTTAGTACTTATCGACGAAACATTCATTTCCTGTCTGTATTCTGCCAACCATTCCATTATTTTTCTTTCCCTTTTGGACTCTGTGCACAGTTCCTCGTCTTTATCAGGGTAAATTTTTAATTAATAAATAAAAAATAGATTTGGAGAAAAACCTTCAAGAATGATCCCTTAATTGCTATCTTCCTTGCTGCTTCAAATATTACATTAGTAACCCTTTACTCTCTAAAATCGTAGAAGGAAGTTGCATTAGAATATGAAATATATATGTTTTAAAGGGGCGTTGGTACTGGTTTGGAGTGAATATTAGTTTATATAAGTGTAAATTTCCTTCATGAAAAATATAAAGATTATAATCCAAAAAAATCAGAGTAAAAATTGTGAGAAAGGAAAATTGACTCACAGCATTTTCAGTTCATTCTAAGTGATTTGTGAAGAGTAAACAAACTGAACAGTAAAGGGTGCAAAACACAGTTTTATGTATGACGTTATCAGGACGTTACTTGGTGAGGGACAAGCAAAACTGACCCCTATAAAAAAATAAAATGGAGGCTTGTTACATAGACTTCTGCATATCAATGGAAAGATAAAATTGTGAATTTTGTAAATATCCAACTATAATACATTCATCAATTACTACTAGGGGGTATTTGACACCTGAAATATGGGGGATATTGGGTTGTTTATGCATCCATTTTCAGTGCACCTATGCATTTTTAACCCCCCTGCTCAACAAAAACAGAAAAAAACAGACAAAAAAAGTTGTATGCATTTCACAGAACAAGTTAAGGTTTTCTTTTAGTGTGCTTTCAGGGTACATTTTCCACCTCATGAAAGAGCTACATTACCTGCTAATTGACTCATGCAATTCTGCACATGTGAAAACCGGAGGCTCCCCTTATTAAAAAGTCTCATAATTTTTTTTTTCTAAAAATGAATGCACATTTTTTTCTTTAAATATTAAGATAAGATTCTACTTTATGTGAATGAAAACAAAAATGATGCAGTTTTCATCTAGACTCCTATAAATAGCAGGAAAATCCCTACCCAGCATGCTTCTCTCTGGGAAAAACCCCCTGGATTTTATACGAAACTGTGTTTAGCTACCTTAAAGGAAATAATTTTTTCTTGCAATTCACTTTTTTGTATTGGTGCAAAGAGGACAGAATTCCAAACATTTTGGTGCATAAATTGTTGAATTTGGTCCAGAAATGGGCAAGTAATTGTAAATTTAGTATTACATGTCTACGACATTGCATAAAACAGGACTTCGAAGAGAAATTCAAACCTAACCGAATCAGCTCACACAATAATTTTATTTTTCTTCAATTTAAAAAACACAAAGTATGAAATATACAGTATTTGAATATCAATAAAATGTTACATTATAAATTTTTTGAAAAGCTGCCAAACAATTTTTTACAGATATTGCTAGTTTCTGTATAAACAAGGGGAGGGGGGGGTCTAATTGGAAATAGTCACTGTCTTAAATCAGAAGATTGCCTCAAAAATCTGGACAGTGTCACCCTAACTACATACTCAATAGTTCTATGTCACATGTATATCTATACAGAAGATACATATTCTCATTTGCGATCAATTAAATTGAAGGTCATGACCTTGCGAAGCTTCCATTTTTGACATGACGTCACACTTTGATGTCACAATGCAGTTGCGTCATAATGTGAAATAACAACTTTTGAATCCTTATCATATGTATAAATTCTATGGAACATGTATCTAATAGGCATTATGCCTTACACAGTGTCAACTTGAGATTATATTGTATGGTTAACTACATAAATTAAAACAAATAAAGCAATTTTCTATGAACTTACATGCAAATAAATGTGGGAAATGTCATCAAATGCTACTCCAAGGGTGCAAAACACAGTTTTATGTATGTTATCACGTTACTTGGTGAGGGACAATCAAAACTGACCCCTATAAAAAAATAAAATGGAGGCTTGTTACATAGACTTCTGCATATCAATGGAAAGATAAAATTGTGAATTTTGTAAATATCCAACTATAATACATTCATCAATTACTACTAGGGGGTATTTGACACCTGAAATATGGGGGATATTGGGTTGTTTATGCATCCATTTTCAGTGCACCTATGCATTTTTAACCCCCCTGCTCAACAAAAACAGAAAAAATCAGACAAAATAAGTTGTATGCATTTCACAGAACAATTAAGGTTTTCTTTTAGTGTGCTTTAGGGTACATTTTCCACCTCATGAAAGAGCTACATTACCTGCTAATTGCTCATGCAATTCTGCACATGTGAAAACCGGATTGAGTTATCTCCCCTTATTAAAAAGTCTCATAATTTTTTTTTCTAAAAATGAATGCACATTTTTTTCTTTAAATATTAAGATAAGATTCTACTTTATGTGAATGAAAACAAAAATATATATCTAGTTATTAATGCTTCTCTAGGGAAAATCCCTACCCAGCATGCTTCTCTCTTGGATTTTATACGAAACTGTGTTTAGCTTTAAAGGAAATAATTTTTTCTTGCAATTCACTTTTTTGTATTTAGGTATTCCAAACATTTTGGTGCATAAATTGTTGAATTTTTGGGCAAGTAATTGTAAATTTAGTATTACATGTCTACGACATTACAGGATGAAATTCAAACCTAACCGAATCAGCTCACACAATAATTTTATTTTTCTTCTAAAAAACACAAAGTATGAAATATACAGTATTTGAATACATAAAATGTTACATTAAAATTTTTTGAAAAGCTGCCAAACAATTTTTTACAGATATTGCTAGTTTCTGTATAAACAAGGGGAGGGGGGGGTCTAATGGAAATAGTCACTGTCTTAAATCAGAAATTGCCTCAAAAATCTGGACATACCCTAATACATACTTAGTTCTATGTCACACACAAAGATACATATTCTCATTTGCGATCAATTTTGAAGGTCATGACCTTAAGCTTCCATTTTTGAATGACGTCAACTTTGATGTCACAATGCAGTTTCATAATGTGAAATAAAAATATCCTTAAATGTATAAATTCAGAACATGTATCTAATAGGCATTATGCCTTACACAGTGTCAACTTGAGATTATATTGTATGGTTAACTACATAAATTAAAACAAATAAAGCAATTTTCTATGAACTTACATGCAAATAAATGTGGGAAATGTCATCAAATGCTACTCCAAGGGTGCAAAACACAGTTTTATGTATGACGTTATCAGGACGTTACTTGGTGAGGGACAAGCAAAACTGACCCCTATAAAAAAATAAAATGGAGGCTTGTTACATAGACTTCTGCATATCAATGGAGATAAAATTGTGAATTTTGTAAATATCCAACTATAAAATGTCAATTACTACTAGGGGGTATTTGACACCTGAAATATGGGGGAAAGCATCCATTTTCAGTGCACCTATGTTTAGAAAAAACAGACAAAATAAGTTGTATGCATTTCACAGAACAATTAAGGTTTTCTTTTAGTGTGTGATGTAATAAAGAATGCAATTTGCTGTCATGTTTTGAGTTATCTCCCCTTATTAAAAATCAATTTTTTTTTTCTAAAAATTCATTTTTTTCTTTAAACTAAGAAGTTCTTTTTTAATAAACATAAAAAATTAAAATCTAAACAATGCATCTACCAAAATGTCATGAACAATAACAAAGCTTCTGCTTTAAATGTGATGTAATAAAGAATATTGCTCTCAGGTCAAGCATTAAACTGAAGACATAAAAAATTAAAATTTTATTGCTTTAAATGACTGCAAAAATTACCAAAAATCCATTCTTATGGAAATTATACCATAGTCTTCAAACTTGTTTACATTGTAATAGTTTCTTTTTGTCACTTTAAAGACAGGTGTGCTAGATCAGAACAACTATGGAGGCTGAGGAGGAAGACTTTCCAAGAACAATAATATTGGGCAACCCAGAAAAGAACAGCAAAATCAAAGTACAGTGGGCAGATGATTCCTTCAGGGTTGGATCAGGCTTTGGGGTACAATCCAACACCAAACTTGTTTCACTTCTGGATAAACAAAGATCATCAATTGAGGAACCCCCTGTTAAACAGTTCTCTCTTGTTGACAAACAGAATACAGAGGACAAAAACTCAATTGAAAATTCTACAAAGACACATGAATTAGCTACAAATAAATACTATGATGACATGTTAAATGTGATACCAAATCAAACTTCAAAATCAGAAAATTTAGAAATGGAACATCCAGCTCAAAATGAGGATGTGAAACCAGTAATCCAAAGCATTGAGTGTAGAAATTTAAATGAAAATGACAAACATCTGGAAAGTAAAGCAGAAGGTGATGTATGTAATAGCCTGCAAATTCACAGAACATCAAATCAATCTGCAGAGAGAGATGATAGCACAGAAACTTATTCTTCTGATAAAAGTGAAAGCAAACTTACTGAAGGCAAAACCCAATGTTGGGTTTCGATTCTTCAGAAACCCAGTAGTACTGTTTTGCCAGGAAACTTATCAACATCTACATCAAATGCAACTTCCAATCCAGAAGCCACTTTAAATGAAAAAGGTGCTTCATTTATTATGAATAGTGATACCAAAGTTCTGGAAAAGTTAGGCAAAACCAAAGCATGGACATCAATTCTCAAGAAACCCACCAATTCATCTTTGGTAGCAAACTCACTGACATCTACATCAAATGATACATGTAATCCAGCTGCCACTGTAAATAAAAAAGACCAAACATTACCGGCATTAAGCATTGATGAGAACCTTGCTTCACTAGTGAGTTTGACGGATGAATGTCACAATAAACTTTTTCCTTTGCAGAAGAAACAAATAGAAGCATGCATTCCAAATACGCCAAAAGTTGATTCCTCAGTGAAGTGCATTGTTTCAATGGCCTCTGCAACAGAGAAAAAACTGGCAGAAGAGAAGAAGGTGTATTCTGTTTCTCTGTTGAATCAGACTTCTTCATTCAACAAAAGCCACTCTGCTTTCCAGGAAAATTTTAAACAAGCGAATGATTCTGCAGAAAAACAAAGTATTTCAAAGCACGGGGCATCCCATAAGACATTAGTTTCTTTATTAAATGGGAAGACATTTCCTATGTCTGTTCCATTGAAGAATGTACAAGAAGGATATAGCATAACTTCTGAAATGCATGTAAAATCTCCAACAAATGATTTTTATAGCCTTACAAAAAGAAAGTCTGAGCAGATTGACACCTCTTTGGATGAAGCATTTGGGAAAGAATGCAGTCCATCTGAAGCTATTAAAAGAAGGAAAACTGACAAACAACATGCCTCAAAATCTGATGACGGAGAGTCTTTCGATGTTTTCATTGATCCAAACTTTGACACTGCGCACGAAAATGAAGAAACAAGTTATAATAATGAGGTCAAAAAAGAATTTCATGATTCAGATTTCCATACATTTGATTCTGACACTAGTAGACTAGATACTGAGAATAATAGTGGGAGTGAGGCAACAACAAGCTTGTTTATCAAGCAGGAAACCCTTGATCCTGAATATGGTGATGAACCATTGGTTTCTACTGAAAATGTCAACAATCCAGTATCTACCATTTCAACAATGAATATTCGAATAAAAGAGGAGGCTTCTAGTGAGGATGGACACTTGTTCAATAAAAATGGTTGTGATGCTGAAGATTCAGAAGACAGAAATATTTCCTTTGTTAAACAGGAAGTGTTTGACCCAGAATATGAAGACATGCCCCCTGATCTGTCAATGAATGCTCCCTCAATGTCACAAGAATCAACTGACTTTGAAAACGAAGACATACCTCCTGTTTTATCACCTAAAAAGGAAGCAGACGATTCGGAATTTGAAGAGTGGAATGAAGATTGTGAGGATTCTCCACCAGTTTTACAGAAAGAAGACAATCTTTCCAAAGAAGATACTACACTGAAAATTCCAAAAAGAATCACCAAAAATAAATTACGCAAGCAAGTAAGGAGTCGTGATAAAAATTTGATAAATGACAAATTTATGTGTCCCATATGTAAGGCTGTATTTGAGAAGATAGAGGACTTTGATGTTCATAAAGCTTTACATTCTGGGCAGCAGATATTGTCTGACAAACAGTGTCCGGAAAAATTTGTCATAAAGCCTTTGACTATCAGGCAGGATGGAAATAGAAAATTCAAATGTGAATATTGTGGAAAGGCTTTTAATCGCCCATCGAATCTGAAAGAGCACACTCGAATCCACACTGGCATGTACCCTCACAGATGTCAGTTATGTGACAAGGGGTTCCATACTAGGTCTAGATTTCTGGCTCACATGGCGCGTCATGATGAGATAAAAGAAACAAAAGAGGCACAGGACATAGTTCTTAAATATACAAAGGATGACCCAACCAATGAAGAAATGGAGATTCAGGAATTTTCAGATATGAAGTTAAGGAAATATGTGTGCAACATTTGTAATGAAATCTTTGATAAAGTAACACTGTACAGAATCCATCGCCTAAAACACAGAGGAGAAATTCCACATACTTGTAATTCTTGTGGTAAAGCTTTCCCATGCAAGTCTGACCTTGTACGACATGAAGCCACACATTCTGATGAGAGACCCTACAAGTGTCATATCTGCTTCAAGTCCTTCAAAAGACGCAATGCATTGGTAGATCACTTAACAATCCACAAAAGAGAAGAGAGCAATGAATCTGGAGAAAAAGACTCTGTTGACAGCATCATGAAAACTTTGGAACCCTCCATAGAAAGCATCGTTCAGAGCTTGGAGCCAAATTCAAGCTCACCAGGGAAAAGTGTCACAGAAACTGAAAAAGAATTTGAAAATTTCAAGGAAATGGAAAGACCCATTTACACAGATGATGGACAAAAAATAATCAACAGTAAATTCTACTGCAAGGAGTGCAAGATTTCATTCAGTGCCAGACGAGAATATTCCATGCACAGGTTTCAGCATAATGGTGGACATCCTCATGTATGTGAGGTCTGCAACAAAGTTTATCCATATAAATCCGATTACGATCGCCATGTGGCAACTCATTTGGGGAGGAAACCTTACGTTTGTCACTTGTGCAGCTGTGAATTCTCCAGGAAACACTACCTCCAAAAACATCTTCTGAAGCACAAAAACACTCGCATCAGTCTGGGTGGGATGTCCAAGCCTGGCAATGACTTTCAGATAGAAATTGATAATCCAGAAAAATCTGCTAGTGAAGTAAGTGATTGTGAGGATAATGGTGATGTTGATCTAAGAACCACTGCAGGAAAACTGGAGACAAGTTATGATGAAGATGGTGCTATGTTCTTGTTTGTAACTGATGATTAATTCCATTTACTGGTTACTGATAAATTATTCAATTATTTATCTGGATATTTTTTTATTGTGCCTCTTTGAAATGTCTTTTCATAATATTTGAGGCATAAACTTTTTTTTGAAAAATAATTTTATTATTCGGACAAGGTGTATGATTGTTGATTTTAATAAGAATTTTGATTATTTCTCATCATAGGGATATCTTTATTCAGCACCCTTGATCCTTGCTTTTAGAACTGAGTCCTAGTTTGATGAAATATTGTATTATGTACATGTTAGCCAAACATTTGAGGGTGATCATTTTCTACCATTTAATGAAGCTAACACTTTAGTTACTTGTATGCAGCATACAAATTATGTATAACAATAATTTGTTGTTTTAAAATATTTATAAGATCATTGGATCTAAGATTTTCTGAAGAGAAAGAAATAATGAAAAGCTCAGAAAGAAATAATGAAAAGCTCAAAGTAAAAGATTGCATTTAAAATTTTATCTGTCATTGATTAAAATGAATGTAGATTGATATATAATTTATTTGTAATATATAAACATTCAAACTATGTCTGAAAATTATCCAGGTATATTTGAATTTTAAATACTTGTGTCAATCTAATGTCTTAATTTTATTTAATTAAAAGGAGGAAAACAAAATGTGTTACTAATTTATCTGCTTGCCCTCTTAACATTGATAGTTTGGGCTGTGGATATCAGCCTGGGTAGCTCATAGGTAGAGCATCTGACTAGTGATTTAGGGGTCCTGGGTTCGATTCTCGTACATCTTCTTAAATATGAATTATTGGTGATGTAGCTGATACTTGGATGTGTTTTTGATGGATGTAGGATTCTACACGACGTTGTAGTGGCTTCACTAACTACGTGTCTTTTATTGCTGTCTGATTGAAGACTTCTTCATTGACTTAAATGAAATTCTCTCTTAAAGAGTCAAACTTCCATTTTTGTTATCATATTTATTGTGTCATTCCTGTAAAACCAAAAAGGTGAAAGGGGGGTGGGGTTAAAATAAAGTAAAAATAAAATGATATTTTGCATATTACTGCAGCATAAAGGTGAATGTATTCAATGCGGCACTTGAATTTATGAAAATGAGTGGGAAAGGAGAAAGTCCCAAATTTTTGTTGTATTTTTACTTTGGAAAATGTTCAGTAAAAGGCTAATGTTGTAATATATAAAGAAATTTGGTTGTGAAAACAAAATGAAACCCCCACTCCCTTTACAAATTAGGATTTTTTGGTTCAGAGATTTTCTTCTCTTTAAAAAAAAAACTTTCAGGTCATTCATACAAGAATTTTTTACCCAGGTTGATGAACCTCCCAACTTTAAAACATTACTCCACCCTGTATCCTATTTGGTTACATGTATTTAATAACCACAAACATATATGTAAAACGTACGTTATAATAACTCTATCCCTCTTCACCGCCCCCCCTCCCTTTTCTTTTAATTTCTAGATCCGCGACTGCGATAATTCCCTACTCTTTTCTTAAAAAAAAAAAAAAAAATAAACTAAAAAGCAGTTTTTATTACCTGGTTTAAAATAAAAGAGCCATTTTTCTGGTGGGCTCCGATTTCAAATTAGAAGCAAAATGTAGAATCATATTTCACCTTGATTAAAACTTAATTTTTTTAAATATTCATTTTATTGTCAACTGCTATATTAATTCCTAATAAATATAATGTACTCGGAAATTATAGTTGCAATACTTTTTCATGCAATTAGTATTGATCAATATATGTACTATTTTCAAAAGTCTGGTGGACGTAAATATGTTTGGGGGAAAATCTACTTGAATCATACATTTTACATTTTTCCGTATCGAAGACCGTATTCAATTTTACTTGCATTAATGACGTCACAATGAAAACACATCATAGTACACTGACGTCATAATGGTTGCGAACCACTCTTTCGTCGTTCAGCAAGAAAATAACACACGTTGTAAATCGTGATATCTATTTCGTTTGCTATGATGGAGAAATTGGGAAGTAAGACTATGGAACAGCGTCTTAGGACAAGCCTGCTTCAGTATTTATCAAGGACAAACACACGGACTATGACTCCAGTTGTAAGCATCTTTTTTTTTAATTTGATTGTTGTGTACTGTTGAACAAACCTTAAGAAATAGCTTCATAAACTAATTTACAGCATACATACAACGTAAATTGAAGTTACATGCAATGAAATTTAAAAACATATACCTGACTTCCTAATTATTATTTTTCATTATTCCAGAGACAGCACATTCTAGAAATTCTAATTTTTCTCTACGGAAAAGAAACTGCGAGTAAAGATGGTGGATTTTCATTTTCAAACAGGAAAGACATTGCCGGTAAGACAATGATAAAATTTAACATTTTCTTTTTTTGTTCTAATTGATAAAGTTGATTGTCTGTATCACAATTATTATAAAATGTCTTTTTATTTATCAGAAGAACAGAAGAAGTACATAGTATTTGCCTATCTGTTCATGGAAGCTTTGAAAAAGAACATGATTACAGAGACAGATTTACGTACACTTCAAAGAATGTGGACACAGCATATTCTGTATCTAACCAAAAGTGGTAAGTTATTTTGTCAGTTATGTCTTATAAAACTAAGTTATGGTTTCTTTCTGGTTTTGGACCAAAGTGTTAGAGGACTTTCGAGTTAATGTAGAGTTCTTTAAAATCGTCAGAATTCCATTTTTTCTTTCTGAGTAATAGTTCATGGCTGAAAAATGTATCTAAATTCTTTTTTGTGAATCTCTTGGCGTTTTTAGCATATCTTAAATTGCTCTTTGAACATGGATAGCTAAACTGTTCAAATTATCCCTATTTTAGAATTTGTCAATCTGAATTGCTCTAATCAAGGATTTTTTGGGGTTTCATTAGGTAAAGACAAAGCAGCTGAAAGATACCTCCGAATTCTAGAAGACAGTGAGGAGGTCATTTTCAATGTAAGTACATACTAACCATTCCAGGAACACTCTGCTTTGGCATTACATACTTCATGTACCGTTTTTGTCATTCAACTTAAAAAAAAGATTCCATAACACTCTTCTTCAAAATGTTTTCATTTTGATTTCTTCTTATCACAGATAAAACGATTTCAAAACCAACTGATCAAAACGAAAGACTTCTTGGCTAAGAACACCACTGATCCTGCCAAGACACGGCAGTTAGACCAAACATTCCAATTCAGAAGATCAGGCTTGTTTGAGAGAATAGGGACACGGTTGAGGAAATTCTTTGGTCAGCGTGACCCTGATGACTTTTTTATGGCCAAGTTTCAGGACGTTAACTGAAATCAGGAGTTCTGTGTGTTACAGCAGACCAGTGATATCTGAATGACTGCAGCTAAAACTCTGTTAATGAAGGGCATTGGCGTCGGAAGCAAATTTAAAGTGGGGGGGCTAAGTATCAGAAAAAAATTTTTTGTACCTCCAAAAAAACCTGACAAGCAAAAAGTGGCGTTTTAGTCGAAAAAAGAAAAGGAAATATCTATTTCCCTTTTGTAGCTAACACGAAAATCCTATTTCGTAGGGGGTCACAGGGGGGGGGCTAGGTTCGGCAAAAACTCCAGTAACGAAATTTTTCTTCCAAACAATAAACATTTTTTTCCCAATTTCAACCTATACTAAGACGTATCTGTGGAAAGTCTGGAGTAGGGGGTGTGCTAAACTATAGAACGAAGATATGTTCAATGTCTATACTAAGTATATATTTGGAAAAAAAGCCAATGGCAAAACAATTATACAATTAGTAATTGACATAAATCATTTTAACAATAATCCTGCCTAAAAGGAATACCCCCTGGTTCCGACGCCTATGAAGGGTCAAGCCACAACACTGATTGATGCATATTCCACAAGTCCATTACTTTGGATGTGACTAGCGTCTTCATCATCAACATCATAATCACTTTTTTGTTATTATTTGATAGTGGCGTTTTAGTCACATTTCTCATCACTTTTTTGTTATTATTTGATAGTGGCGTTTTAGTCGAATTTCTCATCACTTTTGTAGTTATTATTTGATAGTGGCGTTATAGTCACATTTTTCATCACTTTTGTAGCTATTTTTTGATAGTGGCGTTTTAGTCACATTTCCCTTCAGTTTAGGAATTTTTTTTTTATATTCGGCAAAAATTCTCTGATATTTTCATTATCGATAATGATCTTTAAAGTGACCTTTACTCATTATTTTTGATATTTTTGGAATAAATTTATTTTTTTATCTTCAAATGTGTTATGTTCACTTCCATTTAGTCAACTCAGCTTTGTATTTATAATCGATGTTACAGATTTTAAAAAAGGTCATTCTGGAGTAGACCTTTCTTCGTCTTTGTTTTCTTGTGTGTTCTTACAAAAATAATGCGTATTTATAAAGAAAATAATGTATGTGAAAAACGTGTAAATTTTCATCTGTGAGCAGTAGTAGTCAACACGTGGAGATGGCAGTCTGCGCGGTTGACAGTGGCAGTTGTACGTATGTATTCCGTGCACAAGTAGTGCTAAAATGTTAATTCTTATAAGCAAACATCTCAAAGAAGCATTGATTCAATTTTGTTTGTCAGTCTCCGGAAAAGAAAGAATTCGAAAGGGGTGATTAATAGTTAAGGTATTAAATACACGTAGTGGATATCACCCAAAGAACTTTACGTTGTCGAAGTCAGAATAAATATCCGGGAATTTCTACACATTGAGGTTTAAAATATTACATAAAGAACAAGATGTGTTTATGATACAGTGATGCCCCTGTGTGGCAGCTTATTGCGAGGGTTGATGTGACAGAGTAAATCAACATGTGGAATGCCAGCGTTGCGCATAACTTTTGACTGGTTGGGGCTAAAGCTTTCATATGTCACAGGTGTATTCCTTGTGACGAGACAAGACCTGACTCTTAAATTTCACAAGTATCGGTAAACTGAAAGTCAGAGTTTGGTTTGAATATATTTTATTGTTAAGTCGCTAAAACAAAGGGATCGGGCAGAAGTTGTTAAAATTCAAAAACGTCCTCTACTTTGTGTACAGCATTGAAAATGATTTTCAAAATGACAATTAAATTAATACACTTCAACTACTATAAAGGTAAATATCATTATCTCCTTACAGAGACTATATATGCATGTCCAAAAATCGATTCGATGTAGTATGTACAAAATATGATATAAAATTCAAAGGACAGAAACATGAATTGAAAACCCTGAAATGTTGGAATTAAAAAACGTTCAAACAGGTTCGAAATTCATGCAATAGTATTTCATTCTTCGGCATTGTTTGTCAAATATGAAAAAAATAAATTATAGTACAACTTTATTGATGAACGTACAAATGTATTCTGATTATTTTATTGAAATTGTTGCAAATTTTGACCCCCCCCCTCTTTTTTTTATCTCTGTATATTTGTATATCGCCCAAAGAAATCAATCCACTATTTTACATTAAAAAAAAAATTGAAATGTATTTCTCATGCAATTAATCGGGACGCTTGCATAACTGAAAATTTCATGAAATTTGTAAAATGAGTAAAATACTTTAAAATTGGCTGTGTATAAATAAGTTTTTAAACATAATATTTTGAAGTTGAACCATCGCTAAACCAATGACCTAAATAAAAAAAAATCAACCTATGTTAAATCAAATTTGAATTCATTTTTTTAAAAAAAATTATTAGATGTTTTAAAAAGAGGTAAATTTGTTCAGTGGCATAAAAAATGTTATGAAGTCACATTTCTGTATGAGATAAGAATTAAGGCACAAAATCCGGATAAAATGTATTGACACGTTTTTGATTCCAGATTTAGTATTCACATATGAAGTTCCTGTTTTACGATAGACATACGAATTTTGAAGAAAAAATCGAAAAATGGGTAGCAAAAAGAAATCGAAAGAAAAACATCGCCATAAGAAGAAGAGACACGAAAGGTAACCATCTTATTTAGAAGATTTTCAATAGCAGAGCTGAAGAAGACGGATTTCGTCTGTTGATAACAGCAGATCTTTCGCTGGTCTGTCTCTGAGGAAAAAAATGGATGAACGTCAAATTTTTTCCAGACCAGCGAGCTACAGAATTGCAATTTATCTGTTGTTCCTTATTACTCCACCCCAGCACCAAATTATAAGATATATCTTAACAAACCTCAATTAAATGAGACTCAATCAATCCCATTTATATAGTATGTTTTTTTTCTCTCTGTTGAAACAATTTGTATAAATTCTATGGTTTAAAAATTGGCATAATTCAGTAAAAACACACTGATAGCATACAGGCTTATAACAGAGACATAAATGACAAAGGCAACTCTGCCATTAATGTGTTTGTTTACTGAAATATGTGACGGTCCTGGAATTATCCTAAGATTATCTCTTAATTGGTCTTGTATTTCTATCTAAATTGAAATTAATATTAATTCTATTATATATGTGTGTATGATTTGTAAAGTTTTATTGATTTTTAAAAGTAATCTAGGCAAATTAAAGAGGTGAATGATTGAAAGTCGACAAAATCGCAGCGATAATTGGGTGACCAAGAGTTTTGTGTGATTTAAGTTGTACAAGATTTGAAAAATTAAATGATAGTGAACAAATTGTGCATAACCTAAATAATTTGTTAATATAAAATTTAAAATGTCTCTACTTATAATGAATAATTTTAAAGTGAAGTGATGAAAATTTCTTGTGACTTTGAAATATATTCATTTGTATGCCCATCAGATTTCTTAAATTTACAGGGTCCTTTTGGGTAATAACAAACCAAAATTGTCTTTCCCTAGCATTTTTAACCATATTATACTGTAGCTTCCTTTAATTCATATTGAACATTTAAATTCAAACTGTATTGTCAAGCAGTAACACAAAGCAAAACAGTCATTACACATAAACATCCTTCTTTTCTACAATATTTAATTCACAAATTGTCAGAGATCTATCTTTAAGTGGTGCAATAACTTTGAAATGAAAATTATCAAGTCCTAAACATGATCAACAAAAAGTGATCCCTCAGATGAATCCACATATATCACATAACTGGAAGCTTTTTAAAATTGTTGTTTTTTTATATATATTTTTTTATTTACTTTTTTCCTAGGTCAGACAGTGAATCTGAATCAGATTCAGACTCATCAAGAACAAGATCTCCAAGAAGATATAGATCAAGGTCAAGGTCTCCTGTAAAACGACACAGATCAAGGTCACCAGTTAAAAAACATAGGTCAAGGTCACGTTCACATTCAAGAAAAAAGGACAGATATGAAAGTTCATCAAAGTCTTCACACAAAAAAAGGAGGCATCGGACACCTTCTAGCTCTCAGTCAGAATCAGATGAAGATGGAAGTTCATCTCGCATCAGAAACATGGAGAAATCAAAGATTGAGACAATTATCAAAAATAAAGAAGACAGAAAGTGAGTGGGTGGTTATAGTTTATAGTCCATTGAGAAAAGTATATTATATAGTTTAAAGTGATTTATGCAGACAACACAGTTTCAAGAAATCATTGTTAATTACTTCACATAACACATTCACATTAGAATATTTTTGATTACAGTAATATATTGTAAATTTCTATTTTTTAGAATTTATTAAATAAGTCTTTAGTTTGTATAAAAGTGATTTACACTGGGTACACATTATAGTATATTGTGAGACATATGCATTGAAACACAAAATTGTTTTTGTTATACTTGGTAAAGAGAAAAAGCATTCTTGGGTGAAGGGGAATTTAAATTGTTAAAAAAGGGACATATCCCCTGATGAAAACACTGGGCCAGTAAAGAAACACCAGATTCTAAAGAAAAACGAGCAAAGTTTTATATAGAAATATATAGGGTTGGGCCAGAAAAGAAACTTATGTGGAAGCATCCTGGTATAGTGCAGAAAATTGAAAGACGACGCAAGGATATAAGATGGGTTGGGACAAAGATTTCAAAATATCCAGTGGGGTAGGGTGGGGGTGGTAGGGGGAAATCTGGTGAACAGAATTTCAAAGATAATCATCATGTTAGTATATTGTGAGACATATGCATTGAAACACAGAATTGTTTTTGTTATAGAAGAGAGAAAGAAATGATGAAAACATTAGAAACACCAGAAGAAAAACGAGCAAGAAGGTTGGCAAAGAAAGAAGCAAAAGAAAGACGACGCAAGGAAAAGATGGGTTGGGACAAAGACTACCTGGTATGCAGTTGATAATCATTGTTTTATCATTCCATTGTAGATGAAATTTACAAGTTGAAGTTTAATGAATTAATTATTACATAATGCTTCTTTGATATAGGGTTACACAAATGCAGACAATCCATTTGGAGATGAGCATCTCTTAGATACATTTGTTTGGAACAAAAAGATGGAAAAGGAAGGAAAAAAGCACATGA